CTAATGTAAAAAAGTCGCTTAGGTTGACTGATAACGGCTACACTGGTATGAACTGACACAGGCTACAGTGACATGACCAATCGGTGGCACCTGGCGTCGATGAAAACAAAGAAAACGGTCAAATTGTGTTTGGATGCGTTATTGGACTGAGAGTAGACATGTTTTGGCAAAGCAAAACAAAAACTTTGAGAAAATATGAATCACATCGATTTGGGAAGGTCATGATTCCGAGACCGTATCTCCGCCGGAGAAAATTTGTGAATTGCCCGTTACAGTGGATTAGCCTACTCCTTCTGCCGAAAACAAACTTTTTTCTTCTGTGATTATACCCTAAATTCATGGTTAAAAACCCCAAAAGGTTAAACCATTTATAGTCTGTGGCAAAGAGGGCCACTTTCGCAATGTTTGCAAGTTTAGTAATGTTGTTATGCACACGACCAACTAAAATAGAACCTGTATATTATGCATGACGATCTCAGCAGTCTCCGAAAATTTATCAGGCAGTGTCAATCAACGATACGAAATTTACGGCCTCGGTCGGCACGGAGAGCTCAGGGAGCTACGTTTAATGGAATGCAGTCCAACGACTAGGTTGGAAAATTGAGTATGATCAAAATTATCCAGTGAAGTAGACCTCTGATCTCTTTTTGATAAATATTACTGTACTATGATTCGGTTGGCACACCGTCTGGATTCAGACGTGTGTGAAATACGAAAACTGATCTCCACCCAGCTCACAATACACGCCAAGTAAGAGAGCGTACAAGATTTACAGGGATTGAGCCTCACTGAAGGAAGACAAAGATAGTGAACCTGTGATTAACATACAGAGTCTACAAGCAAACTGTGCATACACATTTGAAAACACTGACCAGATAAGAGATGACAACAAGAACACCACTGCTGTCCGTTTGTCGTCATATCCTTCAATGTCTTTAACCAACCACTTGCAGTCTTTGGGACTCCAACGTGGAAGATGGAAGATACCCACTCAATCCTATCTCTGCATTTCTTCATGCACCACTTCCACATCCTCTGATGATCTCCAGGTGGTTTTCCTTAGTCCGAAGAGACTACAACAAATAAGAAGCGTGCGATAGACATATGCAATACGAGTACTAACCAGCGAAGTCTACGCATTCGAATTGGATTTGATAAAAAATTCTCCAGCGAATTATTACGGAATGCGCATCGGCTTACCTCAGCGTTGATAACCCGTTCGCTCCATCTCACCTACGCGAAACTATGTAAACATCGACAGTGAAAGACTCTCAGACGAATTTCTTCACGCGCAAATTCAGAGTCCCCCAACCAAAAAGCAGAACTGAGCTCACAGCGGCGCAGTACACGTACGCACTATATATATATTCCACTGTACGATAATGATCACACAAGATATGGGAATCGGGGTGCCGAAAAGAGCGAGATGATAATCAAACAGCCACAGTGGACGAGGGTAGCAACAATAACAATGTTTTTTTCGTTTCAAGTGTTGTGCAATATACGCAATCTTTTAGTTTCAAGGAAACATTATGATGTATGACGATTGTGAAAAGTAGTCTCGGTGGGATTGGAACCCACGCATGGACGTCGCCTGCGCTTTCGTACAGCGCGCGTTCTACCAGCTGAACTACGAGGCCACATCAATAGTACTGATTTTTTCACATTCGAATAACCCATTCAATTTACAGAGGTATATGGCATCGACCAGTTAGCAGGTAAACTGACTGCCCCGACAGGTTTTCCTTAGAATTCACCGGCGTCCCCCGAATGAGATTCTAAAGCAAGGTTGATTGTTCAATTTTTGAATGTTAAAAGANCTCGTGGCTCAGCTGGTAGAGCATGCGCTATACAAAAGCGGCGTCCATGCGTGGGTTTGAATCCCACCGAGGCTATTGGACTTTTCGCAATTGACATACAAACTTTAAATCCACCAAGCAACAATTTAAACATGTTGGCGCTAAATCCACGGAGGTGGGAGCGATTACTTCCTTTACCATGCTCGTATCATTTATCACGCAACTACCTAGGAGGAAGCAATCCATAAACACTAATTCTTGAACAAGCATCCAAGCATACGAAAGCCTCACTACGAGGAGACTCCAAAAACCTCACTATGATCGGTTTCAGTTTCAATAACCATTAACCATGTACTTTCGTGCGCCGGTTTTGGTTGCCGTCTTTGGCCGTATGGGTGAACAGTAGGAGGACAGAAAGACTGAAAGTAGATTCAAAGAGAGCAAGCGAAATTCAGTGGACTAAGTTGCTAAGAAATTGAGAACATACACGAACGCCACTCAGCATCTCCAACCATCGGGTACGATCATCCCGAGGTCCCCAGCCAGGGAGTATAACGGGACCTATGTGAGCCAGACTCCTGGTTAGGGTTTTCATACCCTCATGCCAGGTCCTAGCTTGAACACCCTTGGCTTTATTCCACCCACTACCTGCCTCAGTGAACATCGCTCACCGTGGCAACCTATCTG